CTCAATCTCTGTGGACACTTCTTTGAAATGACAAGCCACACCTGCAGTTCACTAAGAGTGGATTCACCTCACTTTTGACTGCATCACCATATTACAACACTCCCAGTTTTCCAACTGTATTACTTGCAACAGGTCCAACTCCTGCTATAGACACCTTTCTGGGAACTATGACCATCTGGTAAAGGCAGTGATAGAGAACAGCCTCTTCAAAAGAGAATATGATTATTTTATCCTCAGAAGAAACAGGAGCAGAGCTAAAAGGGCTAAACATAACAAAACCCTAATGCATCTTATCTCATCTAAGCCTTATCTTTTCCATACCAGTTTAAGTAAACTCTCAACAACCATAGCAGGTTTAGCTCTTTCCTACAGCTGCCACCTTTCTCTGACGTCTGACTGGTTATTTCTGTTCTTTGTCAGAACATCATCTGTCCTTTATCCTTTTAATTGCCCTTTGTTTGAAAGTTGCCATTTGAACCTTTCATAAAGTTTCTAGCAGGCCTCCTGAATCTAGTCAGATTCCTTTATTTGCTTCTTCAGAAGTGGTTGGAGCCCATCTTCCAGTGGTAGATTTTTGGTGTTATCCAGGAAGGTGGGCTCTGATCACAGTCATTGTTTAGAGCTTCTAGAGGATTTAACCCTTAGTTCCTTTTCAGCCAGCAATACAATAGCCACTGAAGTCACAGAGAGATAAAAAATGTATACAGGTATCTGTATTTTAGGAATGGATAAGGAATGTCTTGATGGGAGAAGCTGATGGGTTGATAGGAGAATGTAAGCAATTGACAGAATAATGGGAGAAAAGTCCCAAATTCAGGGCTTTCCTGATGGACAGAAATCTTGCTATGCTGCTAAGCATGGCCAGAATTTGATTCTGCTCCCATAGACTTCAATTGTGCAGGATTGAGGACTTCATACCTTTTCATTTGTGGGTTTCAAAGGATTTGGTATAATTAAATGAGAAAATTGAAGAAAAAAAAGCACAATTTTTGTTCTAGTTAAACAAAAGTCAAAAGTGTGTATGTGTAAGTGTCATAGGTAAGGATAAAAATGCAACTTTTAGAGTACAGGATCTTTAAAAATCAGCTTAAATGGTTTAATGTTAAATTGACAATTTCTATTTTGTAACATGACTGTAATCCCTAATAATATCAGGTAATTATATACTGATGTTGTTAAACTGAAATAATTATGAAGACTTACCAGTAATTAAATATTTGGAAATAATATTCTGTAGTGTTACAATTTTTACTGTTAAAATGCTTTCCATCAGACTCACACAGAGATTAATGTCAGTCAAACACATCCAAATGTTTTCCTTGTGACTGAATAATTGTATTCTTACCATTCAACAGTGCAGTACATTAGTGTCAAGATCTGGCACCTTTTCTCCTTTATTTAATTTCTGGTGACTTTATTTTGACTGTATCGTTTTTACTTCTAAGTCATGAATTTAGTCTTTGTGATGGTTAAGAGGTGGAAGCCCTCTATTATGCCAGCAGAACATAGGATTCTCTGCACTGCTGTATCAGGAAATCTCATGTAACAGTTTTATGATGTATGAGGATATTATTCTCTCCAGTAATAATAAGCGCTTCTGTTTCTACAGCAATTTCCACATAATCAAACATTCACAAGTGCTTTACAAAGAATTTAATTAAATAGGTAGTGGAATAACTGGATGCAACTATATAGAAAAGCTATTAAATACTGAGCAGCTCACATTTTGTGGTTAGTACATAACAGTCTTTAGCAGTACAATGCATGAAAGGTATTTATACCAAAACACAGACAACATCACTTTTTCTGCTGTTGTATTAAGTCAAGAGATGACTGTCTCTCCACCCTTAAAAATATAGAAGGAATCTTAATAGATGGTGGCTTTAGTAACACAATATATCTTCCCTGGTTTTCTAACGGTGATAATAAGTAAATCAAGATTCTTCTGTGAGTACTTGAACCTGAAACACTGTGGCTCCAGAATCAATGGATATGGATAGGGAGGATACATTTATCCAAGTGTTTTAACATGGCAATATTTTCTGGAAACCAGTGTGGCCCCCCAGGCATCCCTTATCATTCTGTCAGTCCCATAAAGCACTTTAGCACATGCCTAACTTTTTACATGCAAATAGTTGGAAGACTTGCAAGTCATTGAGGCCTCTTAAATGCATTGCTGGATGGGGGCCATTCAGAACAATTGTCCTGTCATTAACAACCTAGCTGCTGTTGCAAAGCAGTTAGTGCTCCAAGAGACTGGGAGGTTCTGTTGAAGTCAGTGGTAGTTTAGCAATTGACTTCAGTGAAGCTAGGATCTCACTACTCTAATTGGGATCTCATCCAAAAATGTCTTTGGTCAGTTTTTTGTACTTGCATTAAAAACCATTATCCTTATTCCTTTGTGGTACGATGACCAAAGATTTGTCATTTCACATGTCAACTGTAACTAACTGAAGTGATTCCAAACAATCTGTTTTCTCCAAAACATATAAAGAAAGGCAATGTTCAAGTTACTGGACCAGCTAGGTCTTGAAGTAGTGAACCACACTTTTTTCTCTGTTTAATGGTTTTGTCATTACTATAGCTATGCTTACATACTGTGGTGAAATTTCGGTGTGACCCCATGCCTGAGATAGAGAGTACTAATAATGCCACATTCAGAACAGACTACAAGAAATAGGGCAGAAAAATCCCCAAAGCTGGTGATTTACTCCATAATTAGATTCACCAAACCACTAATAAAAGAGCTTCTGCAATTCTATAGTTGTTAAACAGAAGTGCCCATGAGGCACTCTAGTCCTTGGCTCCCATCCAGATGACCCAATCAAATATAGTAAGGGGTTATTGAAAACCCATTTCATTATGTAAAGTTCTTACTGATGCCAAAGGAACAGACGCGTATCCCAGATTGGTATGTACCTCAGCTCTTACCCATATATCACGCTGTCAGCCAATCCTTAGTAAACTAACTAAAGATTTATTAATAAAAGAAAAACATTATAAATGGTTGCAAAGTCTTTGTATTGGGTTTCTAGCCATGATGGAATAGAGTGCTAGTTTGCAAAAGTCTCTCTGTTAACTTGCTAAAGATTGGAAGGTCCTCGGCTCATAGTTCAAGATGCTGTTAGTTGTAAATCCATAATCCAGAGAACTAGAGCAAGCAAGAGGCAAGATGCAGGTGCCTCAGAAGTCTTTTATATCCTCTATCATGTGCCTGGAAATAGTCTGTCCTAAACAAAACACACAGTTCAGGAGTTTAGACAGTTATTGACCCAAGTTATTATCTTACATGTCTATATATGGTCAGCTGAATCACACACCATTGGCCCCTAGCTATTTGAGACATCCTCAGGAGGAGCTAGCTGTCTGCATGGGTTGAATTTCTCCAATGACCCATTGGGAGAGTGGAGTATCCTTGATGGGCCCACCAGCACACAGCTGCATAGCCATAACTGAAATTTAATCCGAGAGTTGGAGGTTAGCCATCAACAAAATATATTTTAGATATAAGTACATAGCCAACATTCATGACTTCAAATACAAAGATGACACATGCATATAAACAGGATACTCATACTTAGCAAATCATAGCATTTCCAATGACACCTTGTATGTCATATTTTGTGCAAGATTTGTTACATTTGTACAACAGTGGTACTATCAATGATATAAATAGCCATCTTTAATCCTGCAGCATCACATCCTGTCTCTGCAATTAGGATACTTCTAGCTATTTTGAATATTAAAGTAGTTTCTGGTGTGTACTCCTACTTCCACTATAGTCTAGTGACTCTTTTGACTTCAATAAGAGCATGCCTGGGAAGTAGTTGGGGATCATCAGGTGTGGAGCTACTTGGGACCAGCATATGTCAAAGTTCTAAAATCATACAGTGTGTCTTTGATATCTGCAGTGAAGCTCCCATTTTCTTGGCTTACTGTGCCACATATTATTGTATTCTTCCTATAACTCAAAAAGGCAATCGTGGAAAATATCTAAGTGTTGATTATTGTTAACCATAGAGTATTTTTATTCCTGTGGGTAGAGAAGTGAAGTAAGTCATCTTCCAGTAAACTCCGGTTTATTCCCATCCCCAAGGCTGGTTACATTACTTTTTACCTTTTTACAGTAAAATCTTTCTCAAGTTTGAGTGGGTCTTGCATTCATCTCTGCCCACTTGTTTAGCCCAGCTATTATTGGGTAAAATCCCCTGCCCTTTTTGTGCTGTGAGTAGAAAGGATGGCTGCATTTTCATTCTTATGGTTTGTCAGTCTTTGTGTCATTGTTGAATAACTCCAATGGTCTCAGGAGTCCTAACAAGAGAAATAGGGAGATAGACTTTTAAGAAATTGTCAGAATTTTTTCTTCCTTTAGAATATGTCTCCCAGTAATACTACACACAGAACAAGGCTTCAGTGCACAGTACGTGCTATTTTAAGAATTTAATTTGAATGGTCACCTGTCATCTTGAAGGTAGTTATTGTGAAGTATTGCTTCAACACTTCCCTGGATGTCACCCTTTGCCTTTACTGACATGCATCTTTGATATACAAGATGTCCCTGACTAAGTCAGTATCATCAGGGAATAAAATCCATTTTGTGTTTGGTAGAGGTCTGTGTTATTGTTTTGTGAAATGCACCTGGGGCATGGAAGGCATGTATGGAATCAAATGAATGAATATAAATAAATAAGCTATAGGGAGGATATTTTAAAATGTAAATAATATATACAAGATCTACTCCCATTAAAGATCCAATAATTGAGTGTATTAAAGTAAGATGCAAATCATAAGCAATGAGTGAACAAATAATGAAGTAAGAACAAAGAGACCATGCTTATTGAAATGATTTTATAGGTAATATTAGAAGGGAACAAAAGCTTTTTACATAAATTTTATTAAGAAAAACTCTCTGAATGCTGATTTATGGTTTTTACTTACACTTACTTTAGAGCATATTAGTTTCTACAAGCATGTTAAAATAAATTTTATTCTATTTCTAGATCTATTAGCTGTGCCTAAGCATCCATATGCTGCTATGGAGAACTGGGGACTAAGTGTTTTTGTGGAACAAAGAATACTACTTGATCCGAGCATTTCTTCTATATCCTACTTACTGGATGTCACCATGGTTATTGTACATGAGCTATGCCATCAGGTATGAGACCTGCAATCTATTATGGGAACTTAGTAAAGCCTGAGAGATCAAATGTATCCCTTTTTCAAAGCTGATATCCTTATACCAATAATTGTATGCATTCATTATAGCTGCATTCAGAATAACTTGGAGAGCTCCAAGATATGTCCCTAAAATGCAGAAATCCAGAAAAAATCAAATATAATGCAAAAGAGCAAATAAGCAGGAATAAATAAACTTTCTAATTTTGAGTTTATGTTGTGATGGTGCTGCCACTCACTAGTCTCCTTGCATTCTGTGTTCAATCAATATTATAGCAAACTTGTCCCTTTCCTCTGATTATTATTATGGTGCTGTGTATGTGTG